CAGAAAGTCGTTGTGGGGATTAAACAAATTAGTATCTATAAAGGGCTTAGAACAATACCTAGTGCGAGGTTCTCACTAAATGCTAGCTATTCTCATTCTCTTATGTTGATAGCTTTCATCTCACTCCTGACTGTTTTCTCTTTATTCTTCCATGCTGTATTAGTTTCCTACAGTCGCTGTGACAAATGACCACAAACTTAGTAGTTTAAATAATAGCCATGTGCTACCCTACAGTTCTGGAGGTCAAAAGTCTAAAATGTGTTAGCAGGGCTACATTTCTCCCAGGAGCTCTAGGGAAGAATTCATTTTCTCTCCTTTTCCAGGTTCTAGAGGCTTGGCTCATGACCCCTTCTTCACATTGCTCCTGTTTCCCTCTACTAAGTACACTCATGATTAGATTGAGTCCACCCAGATCATCTCAAGATCTTTAATCACACCTGCAAAAGTCTTTTTTCTCATGTAAAGTAACATATTCACAGGTTCCAGGCACTCAGACTTGGACATCTTTGGGAGATGATGATCTAGCCTACCATCTACACCCCCCCCCCAAGCCTAACACTGCAGACCAGAAAGCCTTGAGGAGCCCCAGGGGAAGAAACAGTAATATTAGCAGCTAACTTTGAGCACTTAGGATGTAACTGTCACTATGCAAAGTGCTTTAAGTGAATTATCTCACTTTGGCCTCAAAGCAACCCAGTACAATTACTATTGCTATTTTAGGCAAAGGTCAATTGCTCATCCAAGGTTGTATTATGTAAATCCCAGGGAAATTTAATTCTAGAGAATCTTGTATTTGATGCATACAGTGTCTGGGCTCTATACTTTAAGCCATGATAACTGGAGTTAGGGAGTCAGGTGGGAAAAGATCATTAGCCTCAGAGACTGTGCCACAAAAGATATAAATGCCCCCTGGCTGCAAAGAGACAGGGGGTCTGGCAGAGGGCATGTTAAACTACACATAAAAGGTCGAAGGTCCAGATCATCTCCTCCTACTCAAAGGAGAAACCTTGGGGTTACTCAATAATTTCTTCAAAGGCAGGTTTGGACCAAAAAGCTAAGAAGAGATCACTTAGGCTTGCCACTACTTGGGGAGGGGAAGTGAAAAGTCCATTCTTGCCCCCAGACCAGCCCTGCAGTTCCAGTCGAACTCCCACAAGAAAAAAGGAATTCACAGAATTCCTCTAGTCCCTAGAAAGACTTCCTACTGAGTAAGATTGATGCAGACCCTCTGAAACCATGCCAGGAAGGCTTACAGTCCTGGTAGTCCACGAAATGGCCCCCTATACTAGGACCAAACCACTGGCCATCCTCCACTCCACCACAGTTATGAATATGCAAGCCCCCACGTGCCAAAGATTTCAACATGAGTCCAATGGTTTCAGCAGCACCCATCACTTTTCCTACCAGTTCTTACACAGTGAATACTCAAAAGCAAGTGTGGCTTCACAGGGTGGAAAGGGGCAAGCTAAACAATTGCTAAGTACACCTATTATGGTGATTGAACTATCCACAGCATTTCAAAACCTCAACTGCTAAACAATTAAGCCACAGCCTTATCTGAAACTTTCTAATGAGCTGAGTTAAAGCTAGGTTTCACTTAGCCAATAAAAAATAAATAAATAAAATAAAAGATGGTCATTCATTTTCGGTCATGACCCCAGAGGTTAATATGGGATAGCACAGTGGTCAAGAGAACAGACTCTGGAGACAGCCCACTTTGTCTGGCTCCTGATGCTGGCACTTCCTTGCTGTGACTTTATGCAAGTCACTTGACCTTTCGTTGCCTCAGTTTTCCCATCTTCAAAATGGGCATAATCATGGACGTCCATGCTCCCTAATCCAAATTCTGAACAGCCAACTGTGATTCAGAAGCTTTATGGATTTTGTAATGGTAAAAGTGCATATGCCATCTATTATATAACACCTCCAATGGGATCTGCAGCAAATAAAACATGCCAGTAATTTCTGAAGAAAAGATGTATGAGTAGTTCTCACCAAGTGAGAAAAATAAAGACTGTCGTAACCTCACATCAGTTCAGACCAAGTTTTGTAGCCAAATTTATGAAAACCATAGTTTTCAGAGCTTTTTTGATCTTGGAAATACAGGTAAGGGATAAGATCTCTCATACTGACTGCCTAATATATAAAAATTAAATGAGTTGATATAAAGTTCTTGGAGTGGTGCCCGGCATTTGTAAGCACAATAGTGTTACCAACAACAACTTCTATTATTTTCATGTAAAATTTGGAAACTTTTAAGTTATGACTAAATTTCATTTGGAAACCAGTACACTTTGGAGATTAATAGGTATTACCCTTTGAAACAATCCTCTAGGGAAGGATTTTCTGAGATGATGAAAATGTTCTATATCTCCACTGTCCAATACAGTAGCCACTAGCTGCATGTAGCTATCAAGCACTTGAAATATGGCTGGTTAATTTCATTTAACTAATTTCAATTCAAATGTAACTAGCCATAGGTGGCTAGTGACTACCATATTGGACAGTACAGCCTCAGAGGGCTTGGTTCCCAATCTGGCCCATGAAAATCTATTTAAGCCATAACACAGCTGAATTACAGCCTCAGTAAAAACTCTGCATTCCACATCCAGGGAGCAGAGAGGAACACATGATGCTAGAGAGAGCTCTGCCCCACTTTGTAGGCCATGTGGTTGGCCTATAACAAAACGCATCTTTGATATCTTCTTCCTCTTTCTTCACTCCCTATGCCTCCATCTCCAACTCTCCTCTTTGGGTCTTATATAACTAAATCACAAGCTTCCCTAAAAGAACCTTCCAGCCCTTCTCTAGAAGTACCATGCTCCCAATCACCTGCCTTCCCTCCCCTCAACCAAACCCCTACTTGCTCAATGCCACAGATCTCCACTGGACGTTGGAAGGAAAGCAACTTCAGCAAACAAATTCACACTCTTAGCCGCTTCTACTTTTTTTGGCTTTTTCTCTGCTTCTCCTTCTGAACCCAGAAGCTCTGAGTATTTTGTTGTTGTTCCACCGCAGAAGTAGTTCCAGCAGAGAGAGAAGGAGTTAGGACTAAAGCAACTGTCCTGTATAGGCACCTGTCAGCCAGGTGTGTAAAATCCACACACACACACGTGCAGCACAGCCTCACCCTGTGCAAATCCCTCCTCTTGCCAAGGCATGGGAAACATCCCCTTCTCTCTACTTTAGAAAGCACTTCCACCATGCATGGTATTTTTTCAATCTTCTGTTATTCATTTAGAAAGTTACAGGTACAAATTGCACATCAAAGAATTTTTTTAAAGTATACAATGAAAGCCCAGAGAAGAACGTGACTAAGAACGGTTGTAAATAGAAAAAGAAAACCAACCACCTTCAGTGGAATCTAGCTTCTAACCCACTGGAGTATGGAATGTTTAATGACAGGTCAAACTTGGAATACATCCCAGGAGTTTATGTTACTAGGAGGACTCGAAGAATGTCCCTCCAGTTCAATCTCACCTCTTACCTGGCCCCAAGGCATGAACCAGAGATGATTATTAGACATGGCTCCTGGGTATAAAAGGAATTTCCCCTATGGGGTATAAATAAAGGATCGTATTAATGGTAAACATTACACACTCCTCTAGCTCCTTTCAATTATATTATCTCCTTCTCCAAAGTAGATATTTATTTTGTAAAACCAAAGTCTTAAGATTTAATACTGGCCCACAATTATTTCTAGAGAGCCTTCTAGGTGCAAGCATTGCGCCATGAAAGCCACAGCAAATGCCTTCAGTAGAGAAAATGAGACATCTACATAAATCTCTCAGAAGGTAGAGAGCAGAAAGGACCCTGGAGAAGAAATGCCGCAGGAATCACAGCCATGGGAGGTTGGCTGTTTCAGGCTGGGTTATCAGGAAAAGCTTCCCAACACCAGCAAAACACAGTTTGAAGGACCGTTAGGCTTTAGAGTGGTGGATGTAGGGGAGGATGTGCCACGAGATGGTCTAGATGACGACACCATCAGACATTCTTAGAAAAGTATTCATGAAGACATAGATGCATACAATAACCTAGAGATAGTCCACCTCTCTCCTCAATGACAACTAAGCACCTGTACAAGCATCTATGGGGTCACCTGCTTCCACCTCCCAAGTCAGGCTCTCAAAACTTCTCCCTAGTGGGGTCCAGCATTCTTGGCCTCAGTAGTGCCCATTCTATGGCAGTGACCCCACCCTACCTAGACGCAGGGTACAAGAAACATGAAAACACACCAATCCTGCAGAGATCTAAATGACCTATAGGCAAATTTTGCATAATGTAACTGAAATTGACCTTAGTGCAAATAAAACTTTTCGAAGAAGTGAATCCTACTTAACATGTATTAAGGGAATTCACTATTTAAAACGACATTGATTAATCACTAAATGAGTCTTACATGGAATAATTGGTTGAGTCAGCTGAACTAAGTGTCTCACGGCTTAAATACAGAACAAGGGGGCAAACGCTCCCACAAATGTACCGCTGTGCACCTAACATTCGCCACGACAGAGGACTTCTTGCTCTGCTGTAGTTACTACTGCAGCATGAAAGGACTTGAAGGAAAAGCTAGTTAGTCTTCTAGTTACCAGTTAGAATGGGACCAGGTCCAATATTGTATTTTCTAGGACTCGATGTACACAAATCTCTCCAGGAACAATCTCTTGAGCACTTTCCTTGAAATACTGTTGCTAAGTACCGCCACAAAAAGAGCTTATGTTTTTCTTTGTACTGGCCACTTCCACACCGTACTCACAACCCGAAAGGGCGACCTGAGGTAGACTCCTGGAGTGAAGGCACTGGCAGGATGTCCTCCAGCCCCTGCGAGGGCGGCCTGCTTGCCCCGGGGGACCTCCCGCCTCGGGTCCCCCTCACTCTGATCCGCCAGGTACGCGGAGTCGGGCTGCTCCCTTCGGCGGGTCGACTGCCTTGGGAGAGAACCAGCCCATCCTTCCCCTTCTCCAGTCCTCAGCAACCGAGCTACAGAGTCGCCTCCTCACCTCTTCGCTTCTGGCGAGTCTCGCCGGCGCCCCCAAGCGCAGCGTCCCTCTGGGACCCGCCGATCGCGCGCCTGTCGCTGGCGACGTCGGATGTCCCCACTACTGTGTGTCAGCTGCAGAGCCGATGTCCAGGAACGCACAGGAACCAGGCAAGTGCCCGGGAGGCAGAGCCCGGGAGGCAGAGCCCGGGCGCGCCGCCGCCGCCGCTCCCGCCGCGCGAGCCCGCCGCCCGCCGGGTTGCCCGCGTTGCCCAGCGTTACCGTGTGCACCCGCGCGGTCCCCAGTCCGCGCCCGCCGAGCTGTACACGCTGCCGGGTCGGCGGCGGCTGCGCGGGCGGCAGCAGGGCCCCCGCCCTGGGCCGGGCTTTCCCAGAACTCGCCCGCCCCGGTGAGAGGCCGCTAGCGCCGCCGCGGGCTGCCGGGCGGCTGGGGGAGCGGCCTGTGCCGGACCCGCCCTCGGCTCCCGCCGCACGGGGAAGGCGGGCGCGGAGCGAGGACCCGGCGGCCGCCCCTGTGCTGGCTGCTGGCTGCTGGCCGCGCGACCCCTTCCCAGACCCCTGGCTCTGGCCCCTAGGAGCCATCCTTTCCGCGGGAGCCGGAGACAGCGCTAACTGGCCGCCTGGCTCCGGGAAGGGCGGGAACTCTGCACACCTCAGGCGGCGGGAATTTACTCTCCCACTACCCCAGGGGACCATCCCTGCTTGTCAGATAGGGAAACTGAGGCTCGCAGCAGATAAACGACATGATCAAAGTCTCTGGAGTAGATGGCAGCTCCAAGTTTGGAATCCGTTCTGTCACTCGTTCACTTAATTCGTATTCATTGAGCCCCATCAATGTGCCCAGCGTTGTGCCAGGCTCCAGAAATACTCCTTTTGCCGGTAATGGTGGCCATCCAGGCCTGCGAACTCCAAATCCAGTACTCTTTCATTGCTCAAGCAAACCTGAAGGTCTTCACAGCTAGAAACCACAGGCTCTGCACAGAGCTTCCTTAGCTACTGGAGCGGTGTTTATAAGTCTTAGAAGAACCAAGGATCTGGAGAAAAATCAAATCCTCCTCCTCCTCCCTTTCCCCTTAAACCTGTGCCTCCTCCCTCTACCTGTTCTAACGGAAGACCCTTCCCTAGGTCTGACCTCTTCTCCTACATCCGATCAGGATACATTCCTGTGGCCCATATCACCTCCCACTGTCCTCTCTCTCCCTTGGAGCAAATCAGTCCTTCAAACCACCACTATATTATTCTTCCTCTTTTACAACTTTATGCAGAAATCTTTTTAAAATTATTTTATTTTTAATAAGAGACGTGATTTCACTGTGTTAGCCAGGATGGTCTTGATTTCCTGACCTCGTGATACACCCGCCTCGGCCTCCCAAAGTGCTGGGATTACAGGCGTGAGCCACCGCACCCAACAATCTAAGCAGAAACCTTCAATGGCTCCCCATTGCCCTCCAAACTAACTCCCCATGGCTGTAGTAACCCAGCAAGCCCTGGTTAATTAGGACCACCCAACAGAACGTCTCTCCCACTCCAGCTCTGTACCTAAACTTAGTCTGAGCCTTCTACCTGGAGCATCACCACCTCCTCCCACACACTTAACTCTTAAAAGTGATCTCCCCTTCTTGGAGCCTCCAGAACACAGGAGAGATTGGAGCAAGAATGCACAGGAGGCCCAAAGAATCCTTCTGTTAAGAAAAATCTGCCAGCATGGTCCTTAAACTGTCTTGCAGTTTTCTCACGACTAGGACTTTAATGAAAACTAACATGACTGCCTCCCTGGAGAGCTAGTTTCAGAAAGGTCTCTGCAGAGGACTCTAAAGAAATTCTTTGTTCTTTGAGATCTTGGGATTTTAGCACTAGGATCATGAGAAGTGGTAATTTACTCAATCCCTGAGGCTACACTATCCTGAACAAGTAAATAAAGGGCTGAGGAAAGAGGTAGCATCACTGACAATAAACAAGGTAGGCCATTTATTTAATATACAGTATTATATTATGGTTTTATAATTCATTTAATGACCAAGTAATATCAAACATCATCCATCACCTGGCACCCCCAAAGACTTTTTTTTTTTTAATTTGGCACGTGGGAATAGATTGCTACAAACTGGTAGATGCACAAGCGGTTAACACTGAATCCTCCAAATGAGTGACTGCATGATTAGTAAGTAGGGCAAATCTAGGTCTGTTGTGCAGGAAAGTTATTCGAGTGTGGTAATCAATGTGGCCCCACCCCTAGAAAGGGGCACCATCCTCAAATCTTTGCAAAGAGAGCAGGTCCAGATCAGTGTCCTCTGCTCGCCCCATGGCTCCCTCTCTAATTGAGACTGGAGGGAAGTCATGTCCCCGAGGCTGCCTCACTGCATTGGAATGTCTGAGCTAACAGTACTTCCAGCGGGTTCACTGCTCCTCTGAACAGCACTGCCCAGACTTTCTGGAGATTTTAATTCACTCCCCAACCTCACCAACAGTTGCACACAAGGTGCCTTTTTTACACCCTGCTCTCTGTTCAATGAAACACACAAACCATCTCAGGGGAACAATGGCTCCATTCAAGACTTTTTCAAAAGTGCACCATATAACCTCCCCTCTGTGGGCTGCTGCCAGCCATTATCTAGAGGAAAAAAGACTGTCAGATAAAGCGCCTGAGACTTGGGAGAGCACTGGATAATTTCCATGGAAAACTCAGCTTCAGTAAACTAAGTTATGCATCTCTTTATACAAGACAATTTTGCATAGACAACAACAGCCCCCAAGAAACGATGTTGTGGAGACTTTATTTCAATAAAGTGCATCTATGTTTGAAATTTCAGAAGAAAGCACACATGTCTTTTGAGCTTATTACATCACATAATGGTTTCCAGTCAATGGAAATTGATTTAAATACGTGATAAACATTGAGACTAGGGAATTTAAGTAGTAAAATTATTTTAAGAAATGGAACCATCTCCCCTCTTCCTTTCTGCCTCCCCTATCCTGTAATTTTCAGAAAGGCGGTGGGGGCAGTGGTCTCTGACTTCATGGTGGTGGCTGCCAACAGGAGGCCCCACACCCTCTACTGCACATATTACAGAAGAAGGATTGGCACTTTGCCACACTCAACAAGCCAGACATCAGTTAACCCATTCATAAACAAACCCTTAGGTTGGGAACTGAGTAGTCAGTATGGGCACCATTGACTAATGCATTGATCTTTGTTAAACAGCTGCTGATCATCAAACAGAGGAATTTGCCAACAGACATCTGGGTAGCACAAAGGCCAAGGAAGGAGTGAAGGAACAAGCCAGCACTTAGCGTTTCCAGTTGCCATTTCCTCCCTTTCGAAGTCACTGCATCAAACTACCAGGCTTACTAGCTGTCTGCATACAGGCTAGTGAGTTCAGACAGTAAGCAGAGAGCCAAAAACACGCTTCCTAGAGTTGCCTTGTATGTGAAGTTAGATGTACTAAGGCAGTTTGAGGTTAATGAAAAACAACTGGCTTGTTAAAGCAGTAGGTATCTCTACCTGTATGATATGGTTAGGAGTGAGGGTCCCCAGGGAACAGTAAGTAAAGCAGAGAAAGATGATCCTAAACATTCTCTCTCAGCACAGCCGGTGTTAGGGGAACAGACTTTGGTGTGGGATCACTTGAGTTGGACGCTCAGATCCACCCCCCAGGTGTGAGCCCTCAAACCGTTTATTTACCTCTCTGTGCCTTATTTTCCTCTAGGTAAATTGTACCTACATGATATGGTTTGGCTGTGTCCCCATCCAAATCTCGAATTGTAGCTCCCATCATTCCCACATGTTGTGGGAGAAACCCGGTGGGAGGTAATTGAATCATAAGGATGGACGGGCCTTTCTTGTGCTGTTCTCGTGGTAGTGAATAAGTCTCACAAGATCTGATGGTTTTATAAAAGGGAGTTTTCCTGCACATGTCCTCCCTCTTGCCTGCTGCCATGTAAGCTGTGACTCTGTTCCTCTTTGCCTTCTGCCATGATTGTGAGGCCTCCCCAGCCATGTGGAACTGTGATTCCATTAAGTCTCTTTTTCTTTATAAATCACTCAGTCTTGGGTATGCCTTTATTGGCAGTTTGAGAACAGACTAATACAGTACCCCTCAGGGTAATTGTGAGGATTAAATGAGCCAGTGTATATGGGACACCTAAAACGTATAAAGGTTTATTACTTAAATAAATAAAACTCAGATCTTTATTTTCATTTAGACTCATGGTATTTAAAGGCCATAAACTTCTTTGGATATTCCAAAAATCTTGTCAGTCTTTTGACATAAAGTTTTTTTCTCCTTGAAACATTCAGGAATCTCATTGTAATACCTGGTTCAGAGTTGCTATCAGCAAAGATTGGGACTAGCTCAAATTGTTTCAAAGAGGCATAATGAAAAATTATAAAAGCACTTTTTTTAAAATTATACTTTAAGTTCTGGGGTACAAATACAGAATGTGCAGGTTTGTTACATAGGTATACAAGAGAAGCACAATTTTTAAGAAAAGTTTTAGCTACACTGGAATTCCAAAGCACAGACATTAGAAACTTCTTTTTTTTCTTTTCGAGGTAAGGTCTTGCTCTGTCACCCAAACTACAGTGCAGTAGTATGATTATAGCTCACTGTAACCTAGAGCTCCTGGTCTCAAGCGATCCTCCCTCCTCAGCCTCCTGAGTAGCTAGGACCACAGGCAAGCACAACCATGCCCAGCTAATAAAAAACAAAAACAAACAAACAAACAAAAAAAAAACCACTTTTTTTTTTTTTGTAGAGATGATGTCTTGCTATGTTGCCCAGGCTGGTTTTGAACTCTTGGCCTCAAGTGTGGAGACTTTTAAATGTAGTTTACAAGGTTTTGTGTTGTTCTTAGTGGCCAAAATGCACAGTTTATTTAAAGAAACAGAAGAGAAGATAGAATATATATATTTTAAATAGATGCAGCTATATTTCCAGTCCCACATCCTCTTCTAGAACCTTGCCACTGATAACAGGTGAAGTCTGATTTCCCTTCTCAAATATGGGCAGCCCCTTAACTAATAGAATGAGGTAGAAGTGATGCTGTATGTCTAGAGTACCTACCTCATGGAAGTTGAAACAGCTTTTGTTTGCCTATCTTGCTCCAGAACTCTCACCCAAGAACCCAGATGCCATGTTGTAAGGAAGCCCAGACCACCTACAGAGGCATGTATGATCCCAGCTGACAGCCAGCATCAGCCTTGGACATGTGGGTGAATATACCTTCAAGGGTTTCTAGTCACTAACCTTCAAGCCGT